GGGGGAGGGGAAGCAGAGCCAAGCCACGGAGCAGCGGCCAGCTGGCGGCTCCCAGGGGGACGGGGGAGGGGGGGCAAAACAGAGCAAAGCAGAGCCAAGCCGCGGATCACGTGGGCAGCGGACAGCCCTGTCCGCTGCCCGCGTGTTCCGCCGCTTTGCTTCTTCTCCCTGGTCTGCTGGAGACCAGGGAGAGAAAGGGCCCCATTCGTAACTGCGGATCCAACATAAGTCGGATCCGCGTAACTCGGGGACTGCCTGTATTGTGCATTCCCAGACTGCCTATCAATTGAAGGTAGTAACAGGCACTGTGGGATGCTTAACCAATTTGCTTTGCTCTTTCTGTCAATGGGGGAGGTAAAAATGTGTCCAGGTCAACAGAGGGTGGCAGTGTAAACATGATTTGGTGACTTTCTTTTTGATGACTTTTGGAGGAAAAAGTAATGTCGACTGCAAAACTTCCCAATGTAGACACACCCTAAGACTAGACAGGGAAAAGGATCGAGCCCAAGTTAGGAGGCTGCTAAGCTTGTGAGAAAAGATCATTAAAACTACTGTTATGGAAAGGAATTGCATGTAACAAGTTTCTTACAGTATTAAGCTTCGCTGGTGTGTTTTGTTTTGTTTAGAAATTTATTTGTATCTGTCTGTTCTCACTTGTAACCACTTAAAACCTACTTTTTGAATTTAATAAAATCATTTTTGTTTATTATTAAACCCAGTGTAAATAACTGTTATCTGGAGGTGGGGGAGGGGACAACATCTGTACATCTCTGTCTTTCATTGATAAAAGGAGGGAGCAACATGCGAGCTTGCTCTGTATAAAACTTTTATGCAGAGTAAAAGAGATTTATCTGGGACTTTGATCCCACTGGGGCTGTGCACCTGGATTCTGTAATTGAGCCTATCCACAGCTGGTCTGCTCTCAGAATCGGTGTTGCTCTGCTGTGACACCAACACTGTGCTTTTGCTGTGGAGACCAGACGTTCTATCCCAGAAGGCAGGTAAACAGGCTCAGTGGTATGATCAGCAGCCCATCAGCGCAAGTCTCAAGGAGATCTGTGACTCAACCCATCACAATATATTTGAAAAAAAAAATTCCAGTAGGCAAGACATACTATCTTTTACACATAATGAACTGGATGAGTTGAAGTCAAGGTAGTAGGGATGTGAGTGGTGTGTGCCTCTTTTACTCAACTAAGTATGTAGCCCATGTTAAAGCCTACCCTAGGTCTGTAGAAGATGGCAATTGATGTTTAACATCACACATTTAAATCCTGATCTGAGAAACTAACTTGCACCTAGGACCACCTACATCCTCAGCCAGTCCCGTTGTCAAGAAAGAGAAAAAATGACAGAGCCACATTTGTCTTCCACCCCCTGGTAGTCCCATGCTCTGGTCCTGTGCAGCAAACACATTAGGTTACTACTTTTTTGTTCATACACACCTTCTTGTATAACCATTTTCTATGAGGTTTTCTCTTCTTTGATCAGCAATGTAGTAACTGTGGTACAGATTTTCAAAGCTATTTTAGGTACCTACAGATACAAATGGCACTTCTAACACTCACACTAAGTTCGTACCTTGGGATCATCAGGCTTATTGCTTTCATGGAGGATTTTGATATTTCAAGATTTAGTTTTGTTCCTATTTGGAAAAACCCTGAAGATCCCGGCTTCATGGCAGTCCACCTGACTAGTTGTGTCAGAGCTACAGATCCTCGGAGTCCCAGCTGAGCAAGAAGCTTTTGAGCCAGCACTGAGTACCCAATGGGCTGAAAGGGAAGACAGAAGCCTAGAAGTTCTGCAGGCAAGCCGCAGAGAAGCTGGGAAGACCCACTCAATAGCAGCATGCCATATGAACTACAGAGACGCTGAGAGGTATGGCATCTCCAGGAGGGCTGCCAAACTGCAAGGAGTCTAGAAAAGCAGGCTATATGAAACCAAAAAGGTTTAAGAGAGAAACCTGCCTAGTTTCCATAAGACGTTAGTCAAAATCAAGCCATTTCTATGAAACATTTTGATTTCCAAGAATCAGAATTCTCCTGTGGAAAAACATTCTACCTTTGTAAATCTGGCCCTTTTTTGCTGCAAAGAGGTGAAGAATTTTTCTTAATCTAAGGAGAATATATTGCATAACACATTACAACGCAAGATTTCAAGTTATCTGTGAATATCTGATTATATTCATATTGAAAACATCTTTCTTATGTATTCATACGGTAAAATCCTGGTTCATTGATATCAGTGGAAGTTTTGCCATTAACTTCAGTGAGGTCAAGATTTCACATACAGCTTTCCCTTAAGGGGTTGCTGGTACTGCCATTATAACTTTCATATAGCCATTATATTTCCTATTTGCAGAGGCCCTCATAAAATTTAGTTTGTGAGATTAAAGATGACATACTGCTGGAAGCAATTAAAATCAAAACAAATGTCAAGTTAGTATAACTGCATCTATACACAAAAATAATGGGATAACAAAACGATGCCTTTCAAAATCTTAATGTCCTCTTCTATAACTCCAACACAACTTTAGAATGAAAATGCTAACAGACTGTGTTACTTGTGATGCAAAAGCACTATTACAATACAGTTTCTAAAAGGTACAGGAAGGTCATGCAAAGCATCAAACCCCCTTGGAATTAATGCTGCTGGATTTATGATGGAAGACAGCACGTAACTCAGCCATTTAGAAACAAGGAAAACTCACTTGGTATTCATAACATTTGGAATCACAGTATATTATTCCTGCTACAGTGGACAAGGCTACAAACAGCATTTGTTTTACACAAGTAGCAGTCTAAAATAGATTTTTCCACATTAAGCATTTAATTCAATTCAGTTTGTTTGTAATGGGACAAAATCTTAATTTATAACAGAAAGATTTAAGGCACTACTAATGCTATGAAGGAACGAGCAGAACTGGCTGGGAATGGCAAAAGCGGAAACAAGATTAAGATATAGCAGTTTAATTTCCCCCACAATGATGCACTACCAGCTGTGTAAACTTTCTTTAGTTAAACAAATACTCTAAAAGCAAACAGCTAGCAGATTTATGTTCTAGCTTGTTTCCTCAGCAGTAAAGTCTCCTTAAAAAATCATTGCACCCCCAACTGTAAAACAAATAGAGACAAATACATGGATATGATAAAACAAGCTCCTGAGCAAATTTTAATTTTTACATTCAACTGTGAATTC